TATCTTTACATTGATCAAATTTGGTGTGTTTTAAGATAATAAAGTTGGAAGAATAATTTTAATGATTGTTCATATATTACATTTTCAGTCATTCTATTGTATATATTGAACTTTTAGAAATAATGGTAAAACAGATGAAATACTATGAGCAGCAGAACTCATGCCATTAACCAAGAAGGGATTCAGATATAAAAAGTCTTCTGATGTTTGGTCAGAATGTCTAATAATGGGTTTAATATGGCTTTGTTTTGGATATACAAAGGGAGGATGAAAAGTTCTTAGACTAACTGAGAAGGGATTAAAAAAAACAAACTGATGTTTGGTCAGATTTTGGGAGGTGGGTCAGATTGAGAACTTTTCAGCTCCCTCTCATCTTACTTATCATAAAACGAAGATTGTGTGTGTGTGTCTGTTCATTTATATATGTGATCGTATTTCCTACATTTTTTAACCAATTTCAACAAAACTTCACAGGACTACGTAAAATTACCCGGCAGTGGTTCTGACAGCGCCCAAAATTGGAAAAACACTATTGTTTTTGCACAAAATCAATTTGAAAGCATGGGTAAGGGTATCGCACCCAGCTGGAAGTTACTGCCGGCTACTCAAACATCTGAAAACAACAAATGCCATTAACTTTAACTTCCGGTGACTAAGCGTTTTTTTTTTGTTTTTTTTTTTCTGAGAATGATACACAAAAAGTAAAACAAATGAAACATAAACACACACAAGTCCTCCTAACTAAAAGTAATAACCGGAAACTACTTTAAATATGCATGGTGTTCAAATGAAACCCATGTGTACAGTCAAAATGCGAAAGTTAATTTTTAGTCATCAATCAAAAGATATTGCCAACCGACTACGATGCTAACTGGAGCTGACATAAACACAGCTGATTTATTCCACCAAGCAACTTGGCTAACAGTCTAACTCTCTGTCTTCGGGTGGAGAGGAACCCGGATGAGGCTCTGCTGACGGGCAGTCTTGTTCGGGCTGGTTGACTTTTCGATTTTTTTCATGCTTCTATGGCAGTTTTCATGTAGTTTGTGGCCAATTTCTACTGGCCAGTGAGAGCCTATAGCTGGCTGCCACGAATAGGCAGGAAGATTCTATTGACCAGCATGAGAGCCAACAGCTGACTGACATGAATGTTTACTAGCATGCTAGCATGCAAAAAAATTGATAGCTGCATTCGTCAAAAGTGGGAAAAATTTAAATCTGCATGGCACTTTATTCCAATTGGCTCATTCGCTTGCTTAAACTCAACGTTGATTCTGTTCCGCAGAACTGGGTTGGGTGTGAAAAAGTATTTGTTGTTAACATTCTTTTTTTTTCATTCGGTTTTTCCAGTTACGAGTCCGTTTTTAAAGCTGATCGTTTTGTGTTCATTTTGTTTAGTTCTTTTTTCGTAACAGATTTAATGTTTAGTGTAGAGCTTAGAAAAAATTCGCAGTGTGAGATAGGCAAGAAGTAAGGCATGTCGCAACATCAGCAAGGCAAAGGGCACTACTTTAAAGGCAAGGAAGGGCAAAAATATTTTAAGTCAAGTGATAGTGATTGCTGTATGAGTCGTATGATTTTTGAATCAAGAACGGGCAACACTGGGCCATGCTGCTAGCATACTATAGAGAGCAGCTCTTCAGACTTGATTTTTCACACATGCTAATCTGATCTTTATTGGGAATATAGGATCATTATCCTCCATTTACCTTCTAGTTTGAGTTTATTCATGTTTTGTTTGTTATAATTCAAACTTTTGTGCTTAAATATTTTATTTGAGGGAAACCTTCATAAGCTAAGATCCAGTTGAGCTGAAGCCATTTTCAGAAATGTGGAAGAGACTTTGAGGCAGGCACACATTGATTCTTACATGAACAACTTTTGGTATAAATTAAGAATCAGAAAAAATATTAAGTTAACGGCCACTGCTGGTTTATCATAGCAATCAAGGCTGAATGTTTATGGTGTTAATGAGTCTTGAATATTTGATGAGGCCTGAAGTTTGGTTACATTAAATGTGACATGAAGCCAGTTGGTTCCACCAGATCCAAATATTTGGTCTTTAGTTGTAGAAATAAATCAACTGCAAAAAAAACAAAAAAACAAAGCAATTTGAACTTTAACACCTGAAGACAAGTGGTGGTATGTATAATTGTAGGAAATAAAATCTATGTAGATATTGAACAGATGAAATCCTTGCATTATATTAGCAAAACAAAACTTGGCAGATATCTAAAGGCTTTTCAGTCATTCCATAATTTTCTTTTGCCACCAGGAATATTCATTTTGCTTATTCCCATTTCATTATAAAACTCAAAATTTTCAACAAGATTTACTTTGAAATGTTATTAAATAATAGCAGACATGATATTTCCTGTCCTTTGTAGCTCTTAATAAATTTTGTCTTTTTGTTATTTCTGCTAAACCTTGTTCTGCCATCCATTTCCTCAAGCTCATTAAGTATGTTACATGCTGCTTTTCTTTGTCCCTCTTGCCCTCAATCTGTCCTGTGAGTATCAGGTACTCCAAGCCCTCCTTCCTCGTTATGTGCCCCAGAAATTTCACCCGCCTCTTCCTGATGTTAAGTATGTTTCTTTTTGTTTCCATTAATTTCTAAAACCTTATCATTGCTCACATGTTTGGTTCATGGTATCCTCAGCATTCTTCTGTAGAACTACATTTCTATTGCTTCAAGTCTCTTCATCTGTGATTGTCCAGCATTCAATGCCATATAGGGGGGCAGATATTCTGTAACAGTTCAGTACTCTTTTTTTTTTTTTTTTTTTTTTTACTGCTATTTCATGAAAATAAAATGCTGTAGTAAAAGTGAAACATTAGATTGATAAATGTTTCCTATTTGTTCTTTATCCTGTCATTGTCATTCTGATCCATATTTGATTTGTATTTGATCCCTATTCATAAAAATAAATCTATTTTGTTTAAAAAAAAAAAAAAAAAGACAAAAAATTTCCAGACTCAATGTCATTATCTTTGAATAGCTGATTTCAGAACTTCAGTCTTTTGTATCATTAACTGAGCTATTGTGTCTCCTTGGTTTGTAACCTTTTATAAATGATAAAACAAACAAAACCCCATCATCAATAGTAGAATTTGTGGAGATAGCAATACAGTAAACTCACACAAGAGATAAAAAGTTAAATATGCCAGGAGTGCTGAAAAGTTTTTGGTTAAAAAAAAAAAAAAAAAGCAGGGATTAAAACAAAAATTTAGATATTTTTCCAGATTTTAGAAAGTGGGTTAGTCTAAGAACTTTTCAGTACCCCCTCATATATATCCTATCATAGAAGGCAGCAACTCTCTATTAATTTTGCATATATGCTCATCTGATCTTTACTGTATTTGATTGATTTGTTTTTTTTTTTTTTTAATGGCTTATCAACCCTTTCTGAGTTAATTTTAAGCCAGAACATATTTTGGACAATAAGAATCTTTTTGCAAGTGAATATTGCATCCCACCTACAAGACCTCGATGGTGGATCAGACAGAAGAAGTTATCAAACCCAACAGCTGTGAAGGCAGGTGAAGGCTGCAACAAATCTTTCAACACCAATCGTCTTGGTCTTCTTGCCATTGGATCCAGTTGGTCGATTTGTGAAGAATCATGTGCTTCCTGGAGTACAATATCAAGTAGTTGTTAAAAACACACACACACACACATGTGTTTTGTTCTCTGTCAAAGGACCTTTCAAACCAAAATTGGTCTCATTAGCCATCTAGGGATCCACAAACCCAACTGAAGCAAACAAAACAAGTCCATCATTCTCAACCTCCAGAGATAGACATGAGACAACGATTGCATTAACATTTTCTTTATTTTAGAATAATGATTATTACAGATAAAGTTCTACTATTTAATCCACAGATAGGGGGATGAAATGGATGCATACTTTTCTCAAGGGTATTTGTGTGTAAGTAAATGCAACAAACCTGACTGGCATTTAAACTTGGATCTCCAACTTCTCATTTTGTGCCACTATCCATTACTCCACATACACATTTAATCTTTACTGAAAATATACAATCACATATAATCACTTATGTTTATATTTCAATCAGTTTCATTTATGTTTTTAGTTTTGATTCTGAATGTTTATTTTTTTATGAAAACATTTGTCTTTCAGATTGAAACAGTGAAGATGTTAATCTTATTTGAATAATTCTACATTTCACAACTAAAATTATTGAAATTTACTTGCAATCTTTTCATGTGTTATAGAGATATAATGCATATTCTAACATAAAAGAAACATTTCCCTTCTAAGATTATATCTATAATTTTCATTGTAATAATAAATACAATCAGTTATGTTTTGTAGTTATGCCCCAAATAATTGCTGTTGATTCATGTTTTTAAATAGTCGGTTTAACAGATTTATCTCCCTTGTAATGTAAACTTTTTTGAAAATCTGCCTATTGCAAATTTACCATTTACAAGGTTATATTGTTATCAATTCTGATTACATATTAGATGTGATGGTGGTGTTGTTGTTGTTGCTGCTGCTGCTGCTATTTCTGATATCATGGGGGGAAGAAATTTTTTTTTCCAAAACTCACAAGATGATAAAATTTAAGCATTAAATGACCTATAAGGAGTTGATATGCCATTAAACAAACTAAACCAAACCATTTAATAATCCAATCCTGGCATTTGTGTAACCCCCTTGGTAGAAGGAACTGTTGTTAGATTCAACATGCTTATACCCAGTTAGCCATGAAGGCACTTATTTTCCTTTTATAAAATTTCTTGAACATTAAGGTCGGTAGACAAAAATAAATGTTCCGTTTAATAAATAAATGGAGTGTCTACACAAATATGAGTATCCATGAAAAATAATGTTTCTATTATTTTTTAGTAATTTTTTCCTTCTAAATACTTATTTATTTTGAAAAGAAAATGATCCTTGAATTTTTTATTTTTTTTTATTTATTTATTTTTTTAAAAAACTTTTTATGCTTTCTGTTTCATTTTTTTCTTGTAGGTAACACAGCCCTGCATGATTGTGCTGAATCTGGAAGTTTAGAAATCATGAAAATGCTCCTGAAATACAGTGCCCTGATGGAAAAAGATGCATACGGAATGACCCCCTTGTTGGCAGCTGCTGTGGCTGGATATACTAAAATGGTTGAATACCTCATCAACCAACCTGATTGTGTTCGTTCTGAAAAAATTGATGCTTTAGAATTGCTTGGTGCAACATATGTTGATAAGAAGAGAGACATGATGGGAGCTTTGAAATTTTGGCGTCTTGGTATGATGGAACGCTATAAAAATCACAGTGTTCCGATCCCTAAGCCCATTAACCCCTCACCTATTCCAGCTTATGAAAATACGTTGGAAGTTACAAATGAAGAACAACTGGATGATTTGATATCAGACCCCGATGATATGCGAATGCAAGCATTGCTTGTTAGGGAACGCATTCTTGGTCCTGCTCACCCTGACACTTCTTATTATATTAGGTACCGAGGAGCCTTATATGCAGATATGGGCAACTTTGACCGTTGTATAGACTTATGGATGTATGCTCTTGATATTCAGCAAAAAGTGTTAGAAGCCCTGAGTTCGTATACACAAAGTAGCTTTCTTTCCTTTGCTGAATTATTTTCTTATATGACGAACGAGTATCATCCAGTTCACAATGTAGCTTTCAATGATATCATGGAAGTATTTACACGGGTAATTAAAGAACTTCGTATTGGACACGAACTCGTTAGAAAGAATGCCGTTCAGGACTGTGATGTCAGCTCGTTCAACCGTCTCTTAGTGATAATAATGCATTTGTTATGTTTGATATGCCGAATACAAAAGCAGAATAACTTATCAGAAGAAGACGACTATGTCTTTAAACAGACGGTATACCAACTTGTTCAGATGAACCCGAAGTGCACAAAGGGATACACGCTCCTCCATCTTGCCTGTGCACGAGAGACAACCAATGTTGGCCGTTATCCTGTCTGTAATTTTCCGTCCCCCGATGTTGTGGATCTGTTGTTAGAGGTGGGTGCCGATGTGAATGCGAGGGATGTTGACGGTAACACTCCACTCCACCTCGCTACTAATAACAAACACTGCCAATCAGATGTGATAAAATTTCTGTTACGCCACAGTGCCCATTTAGACATGCGCAATGATGAAGGCAGGACTCCTGTGCAGCTCCTGCGAGGAGTTGCCATCCATGACATTGTCTCACCTTTGGACTACATTTCCTTACAGTGCTTGGCAGCTCGTGTTATTATCAAACACAATATACTGTACAAAGGGCATGTACCACTAAAAGTAGAATCCTTCATTCAGATGCATTGACTGTAAAAAATAAAAAAGATACAAATTTAAAGACGAAACTACATAAGTTGTTGAGAAACTTAGGAAATTCAATTTTCGATATCGTTGAGAAAAGAAATAATAAAATGGCAAAAAAAAATTTTTGAATGAAAATTATTCATAAGATTTGAATGAAAAACAAATTTTTGGAAAAACAGTTTATTTCTCTCTCCCCATTTTTTTTTTTTTTTTTTTTTTTTTTCAGTTTTCTTTTGTTTCTTACATTATTGACTAAAAAGAAAAACAAACAAAAGTGCTTAAAATTGGTATTCTGCCTTAAAATTTATAATTCAACCATAAAAGGATTCTAATTGAGCTTTCAAAGTGTTTCTTGGTTAATTTTCTTTTACCTTTTCTTTCATTTCTCTTTCATTTCTCTTTGTTTCTTTTCTTTTCTCTGCTCCTCTCTTTTCTCTGCTACTTTCTCTCTTTGTTTCTTTTCTCATTTTTTAATTAAATTTTCTTGAAAGAAAATGAAAGCAATGTACACATGTATATCTTGATTTGAATAACAAATGATAGTGATCTTTATTCAGATGAAACAGATGGCATATCCATATTTAAAATATGGAATTTTGAAGATTTTCAATGTGATATGAAAACAATTGTTTTCCATATTAAAAAATAACTTAGATATTTCTTGCATTTTTAATAATTTATAATATTCAGTTGTCTTTTATTATTTTTGCTCAACAGTTAAAATGTGGATCATATTTGTAATTTGAGGATTTGGTGAAATGTTAGGCTAGGGTTGTTTTGGGTGTGCTCATATGCCCCTTTAATACTTAACACTGTTGATCGCTGTGGAAGAGTCTTACACCTTAGTACAGAAACATCTACTAAATTACCAATCATTGATTCAAATATTGTAATAGACTCAGAATACTTGAAGTGCATTGGATTTGACTTTAAGTTTTTCTTTCTTTTTTTTTTTTTTCCTTTTTATAATCATGAAATAAATTCAGTTTATTTTAATTTATCCATCTTTTCCTAAAATTGTTTTATTTTCTTTTATTATCTGCTTAGATGATTTTTAATGGTTGAATTTTTAATGTTTTTTGTCCATTTCAGGTTTTTTTTTTTTTTTTTTTTTTTTTGCAATTCTTTGTTTCCTCGCATGTTAGAGATTATTCACAAAAATATTGAGGTCAAGTTTTGCACAAATTTTCTTTTTTTATTTATTTTGAATTTTTTTCTGGCCATTTTTTTCTTAATTTGTTAGGGCTTCAGTTTATGCTGTAATTTTTCTTCCTGCTTTTTATATTTTGGTTAATAACCTGTATAAAACGGGTTATTCAGTGGAGTTGTACATTAGGCACTGCAAGCAGAAATAGTAACTTTTTTTTTTTTTTCAAAATTCTATTTTATTTTATTATAGATTAAGTACTCTAGGCCATGAAAATCAATTTTTTTTTTTTAATTAAATTTTCTAAAAGTTAATAGAGGGTTCTGTTTGCTATGTAAATTCATTGTAAATTGACCCCCCTATGAAAGCCAAAGCAAAATATGCTACCATGTAATTTCTTAAAATTTTTAAAGTAAAAGTTTTTTATAAATATAACTTGTTTAATTGATTGTAATATATGAAAGAAGAACGCCAGATTATGTATTGAAAAAAGAACCTTTATTTTTAAATTTTTTTAATTTTAAGAAAATATGTAGTATGAACATATTTTGTTTTGGCCTCCATAGGGGGGATCAATTTACAATGAATTTACATGGCAAACTGGACTCCACTATTAAATTTCATAAAATTTAAGAATTTTTTTTCTCCTTTGATATTTGATGTTGAGTACTTAATCTATATTAATATGAAAAAAAAATGGGGGGGGGTGAAGAAAGAAGTTATTTCAAGTCACAGTGTCTATTGTACAACTCTACAGGTTATTCTTTAGTTCTTCAGTTCTTTGAGTATGGTTCTATAAGCTTAACACTGCTGAAAAGTGTATCTTTTAAGGTTCTTATTTTCTTTTTGATTTCTCCTATTCATGATCCCTGTAAATCAACACACCCCATTTAACAGGTTGCACATACTTGGAGGTGGACTGAACAAAAAGCTAAACGTGTTATATTTTAAATCCATCAGGTGAGGTTCAAATCAAGGGAAAACATTTTTACAGATTGCTTTCTTGGGTTCAATGTTTTAAAAGTTTATTATTCAACTCATCTTTTGGATTTATGAAAAGAAAAACATATTTTTGTTAGCATGCAAAACAAAAATGGTAGCGTCTTGTGAAGAACTTTTATTCAAGTTTTACCAATTCCATATGAAAGTGAAGTTGCTACTTAAGTAATTTCAGAAATTGTTAAATTTACTTGACACAAGACCATCTAAAGTTTTGACAGCAGTAAATAAAAACCTTTTATTTAAATTGAGAATAAAGTTGTTAAACTTATTGCATTTTTCTAAATGCCTTAAAACCTTTTTGATTGTTGAATTTTGTGACTAGTCGTCTCAAATTAAATTCAAGTGCCTGAGTTGATAAAAAAGATTGTTACCTTAAGATTTGTTTTTTTTCTTATGTGTTTAAATCTTATGCTATTTACTTCAGTGTGTACTTATATATAATTACATACAATAGGAATTTAAAATTACCTCATAGTTATGATCATTTCACCATAACAAGTTAAGATTTACTTATAAGGATTTTCAAACTGATCAAGGTAATAAGATAAAAGAAAATGAAACCAGGCCTAAAGCAAATTTTAACAAGGCAGAGGAAAGGAAGAAAAACGGAAAAAAGTAAAAGAAATAGTGAAAAGACAAAATAGGAAGAGGAAGAAAAAAGGTAAAGAGTAATAATGTCTAGACATGGGGATAGTGGCAGGAGACATACATGCAGACGTGACCTTGACTTAGAATATTCATCTTGGTTTCTGTCAAGAAAATAGGTAATTAGAGAAGATTTTTTTATCTTTTGACAAATTCATTATTATTTCAATATTAAGAGATATAATTGTATATTTATTATATATATATATATATATATATATATATATATATATATATATATATATATATATATATATATATATATATATATATATAAAAAAAAAAAAACATTTATTTTAATTTTTTTTACTTTTTTAGGAAATGTATTATTTAATATTCTTCATTTTATATTAAAAGAACTTATATTAATAAAATTATTACTATCTATAAGGAAATAAAAATAAAAAATTAGAGAAGATTTTTTTATTTTATATTAAACCAATAATTGAGGAAGAGTAAATGAAAAGAAACATCTACACTTAAAATTACAAAGATTATGTTTTGTAAAGCAGTGCATATAAAATGATGGGGGGAAAAGTATAATATAATCGAGTTATTAAATGAAAAGAAATATATAAAATATAATTTAATCAGTACAGACCGATAATTAAATAAACAATATAAAGAAAAATGAGATATAATAATATCAATGTAAATTATATGAATAAAGATGTCATTATTAAATAACATTATATTATTATTAAATAATACATTTCCTAAAAACTAAAAAATTAAAACAATATACGTTTTTTAATATATAAATAATTTTATATATATTTTCTTTTTGTCTCCTGCCACTATCCCCATGTCTAGACATTATTACTCTTTCTTTACATTCTTTTTTCTTCCTCTTCCTATTTTGTCCTTTTGCTATTTCTTTTACTTTCTCCGTTTTTCTTCCCTTTTCCTCTGCCTTGTTAAAATTTGCTTTAGGCCTGGTTTCATTTTCTTTTATCTTATTACCTTGATCAGTTTGAAAATCCTTACACGTAAATCTTAATTTGTTAAGGTGAAATGATCATAACTACGAGGTAATTTTAAATTCCTTTAGTATGTAATTTATGTGCTCTCTTTGTGGATCTGTTTTAATATATTATTAGGATTCACTTGGATTACATAGCAACGGATTATTACCTATGTATGTATGTATGTATGTATGTATATATATATATATATATCTAATGAGAATTTTAGAATGGATTTTATTAAAAAAATATATTGTGTTTGGAAAAAAAGAAGTCGAAAATGAAACTGGAGAGTTCTGATTTCAAAAGTTAAATTGAGATAGAGGGACATGTGGCTACATTTAGACTTATGCGCAACAAATTCCAAAAGTTAAAGACTGAGGGACGTGTGGCTATGCCATGATCTGTTTTACAGATGCGAAATGTTTCGTGTGTCGCCACATCTTCTCCATCGCAATTTAACTCGTGAAAATCCTAGAACTATGAAAGTGGTAAAGTGATTCTAAATAAATCAACTTAAAGTCTCCAGTTGCTTTTTCAACTTACATAATTTAAACATTTTTAATTGAATAATATTGAAAAGTTCTATCAAATTTCCAAGTTAGTTGTTTTATGTAAACGGTAAATTGGTCAAAATTTATATTTATTTTCCTTTTATATTATTTTTTTCCCAAGTACTTTCCAATATTGCTACATTTGTCTACAAGGATTGTGTTTTTTGCAATTGTTTTTGTTTAATTCCGACAATCTCACATTTGCTGGAACCAATTTCAAGTCACCCTTGGTGATGAGATTTAATTGGTCAACCTGGAATTTTTATGTGTATTATTTTTGTTTTTAAACACAATTCAATATATGGCCTCCAGTGGGAAAAGGTAGTTTATTTAAAGTTGGCTGCTTCTTTTTTTTATTTTATTTCATTTTTATTTTTTTCACGACAGTCTTGAGAATTTGGAAACTTTCTTTGCACTGTGTCCAATTTTTTTTTTTTTTAAACATAATTCCAGTTTAATATGAAATGATTAATTCAGAAATTTGAAAAATTTAATAAACATAACTTGTCAATATTATTCAACCAAACATATTTGGAAAAAGAATTCTTGATGCCAAAATACACCTATATATATATGCGCACGAATAAGGAAATAGGGTCAAGTACGACAGAATGACCGGATAAAAAATACATAGGAAATGTTTATAAAACTATGACATTTCACTTCAGAGAAAAAGAAACTAGTAAAAGT